TCGGACTTTAGACTGTTACACTGCTCTGTAGTATGGCCGTGATCTTGGTGAAAATCACAATATCTGGTATGGTCTCGACTAGCAGTAGCAGTTCGCATTGGGCCAGGACGTCTCAAGTCCATCTTATTTTTTATCTACATAAAAATTTGTGACCTCGGCAGATTAAAGGGAATGCAATTAACTGGAGGTTTACCTGCAGGTTGTTGCGGGGGAGCTGAGTTCGTCCTTCCGAATCTCGTTGGGGAGGTCAACATCGGACCTCGATTCTGCGCCATCCTCATCCTTTTCCGGCTCGGATTGTCATCTCTCCATTCTGGGTTCTGGTTCTTAGAGGAATGTGGGTTTTGTGCCAGGGCGTATTCCTCAGCAGTTATAAATTTGAGAGACCTATCATTCACCTCGCTGAAGGTAGTGGCAGCATGTTTGATCAAACTGTCTCTGAACCTGTCATGCTTGAGACCAGAAATTACAGCTGCAATACCCACAGCTTGGTCGAAGGAACTAACCTCCAACACCGCATCATTAAACCTGCTCATGTAGTTCTTTAGAGACTCTCCGTCCCTTTGTTTAACTCGCATCAATTCAGTGGTAGTTTTCCTAATCAACCTTCTATTGGAAAACTTAGTGGCAAATGCAGATGCCATCTCTGTGTAAGAGCTAATTGACCTCGGGGGTCGACTATAATACCAAGTTCGAGCATTACCTCGTAGAGTAGAGGGGAAGATTTTGCACATCAACGCGTCAGAGGCGTTCTGAGCTTGCATGCAAGAGTAGAAAGCATGCAGGTGATCATCGGGATCCTTCGTCCCATCATAAGTCTCCAGTTGTGGTATTTTGAAGCCAGTAGGATAGGGTTCCAGTGTGATGTTGGTATTCAAAGGGTGAGGTATAGAATCAGCAGCATGGTGTGGGGGTGGAGCACCTCGGTGTTCAGCTACTAGCTTTTCCAAGCTATCGAGGCGTCGGGTGACATCATCTGGGATGGGTTGTTGAGCAGGTGCGATGTGGGATTGACCTTGGGATTCACTAACAACGAGAGTAGGTTGAACTGGTTGGGGGTTTTGTTGTGGAACTGGGGGTTGTTGGGTGGGGTTTAATAAATTAATGAGGGGATCACCAGGATTATTTCTAGCTAGAAGTTGAGCTAGTACTAACTGAAAAACACCAAACTGCTGCTGCATGACAACAAGCTGAGCTGTCACCACGTCTTGGTTGGCAGTGGAAGTAGAATTGTGAGCTGAGGCATGAGGTTGGTTTTCATCTCCTTCTTCTGCATGATCAGCAGGAGGGAATATGGTTGGGACCTGAGGTGGAAGCTGAGGTAGGGTTTGAGGTGGGATCGGAGGTGGAAGGTTGTTGTGTGGTTGACCTTGCCCATGAGGCAGAGATGAATTGCCAGGTCGGACTGATCGAGTGTGAACCATGATGGAAGAGCAACTAGAAAGCTTTCAGTTCGTTTCCCACAGACGGCGCCAATGTAATTGCACCAAACCCGAAGTCCTTCTTCAGTCTGCGCTTGTATTCCGAAGTAACCTGCAAAGCCCCGAGGTGGAACTCGGGGTAGACACTCCGATGCTTAAGTCAGCAATAATCGGGGCTACCTTTAGGGCAGAGATAAAAAGAGCTTAGGGTTGGTTTCAATTACCTTTT